GGTTTGGCAGGGCATTTAGGGCTCAAGGGGTTTAGGGCTTGAAGGGTTTAGGGCTTGAAGGGTTTAGGGTCTTAGGGTGGATGGCTTTGGGTTTAGGGTTTAGGGTTTAGGGCTTTGGGTTTAGGGTCTTAGGGTCTTAGGGTTTGGGGTGCTATACCTTGAGGACCGAAGGGCCCCGAAAAGTACGGGCCCTGCACCCGTATACCACGAATCCCTATGTGTTGTGTGAACGTGAAACCCTTTGAGGGCTCGTTTCGTCCTTAAGGTAAGGTTCTGCAAGGGTTGAGGATGGTTTAGGGCTTCAGGGTCTTAGGGCTTAGAGCTTTCAACTGGTTTTGGAAGGCTTCTGTACGGCTTTGCAAAACTTCAATTTGGGTTGTAGTTTTGCTAGTACAAGTTGCTCAGATGCGGCTCATTTCACTGTATACGGTTATCCATGAAGACGAATATTGGATTTTGAACTTACGCGAGGATCATGGAACACAAGAGAGCAGCAACTAACGTTGTCGCAGCCCCGTGGTTGGCTGAGCAGCCCTGCAAGAGCGGCTGACCCGGCGCAGCATGGACCTGCAAACACAAGGCTCCACAGCGAGGGTTCGCTCTCTTTCTTGCTCTCCTCACTGTTTGCATCAAGGTCTCTCTCTCTCTCTCTCTCTTCCTTCCTCCCGCTCTGCTACACATATACAATATACCATAATATAACAAAATACAATAAAAAGTAGTAGTTATAATATAACATCACAGAATACAATATAATATCTCGATCGTCCGTTTTCCCAGCCTCCAATGCAATGGCCTCACCTGGGCACAAGCTGCAGGCTCTTTAGGTCCTACGCTGAGCCCTTCCTTCAGAAACCTCAAAAACTTAAACTCGAAACCCCCATGCCACCTCATCCCCAAACCGCCCTGAAAACCCTAGAAACCCCTTAGAAACCCCTTAGATACGCCTTAGAAACCCCTGAAATCCCCAAAACCCCTAGATAGACCCTCAAAAAACCCCTTAAAGCCTCCTAAAACCCCTAGAGCCCACACCCTGCCAAAGGCAACTCTGAGGCCGAGCACCGTCGGGGCATCCGTCCACAAAGAGCGAAACGACACCGCCTTCGAGGACCGCCTTGGGCTTAGGGTTTCGGATTAAGGGTTTAGGGGTTTAGGGGTTTAGGGGTTTAGGGTTTGGGGTGTTGCAGAAAGGGAGTCTCTTCAGGGCTTTGGGCTTGGGTTCCTCCAATGGTTACTGTAAGGGTCCTTCAAAATTGGGGTGTGCAACTTCAAATTTTTGAAGCCTTAGACCTTCATCGGGTGTTGTGGTGTGTATTTGGGGTGCCTAGTTTTCTGAAACCCCAAACCCTAAACCCTAAACCCTAAACCCCCACTTCGGCTCAAAACATCGACAGGGACCCTTTCAGACGTCCCGACATCATGGCTTCATGCCCGGGTCAAATCTTGTTGGCATGGCTGTTCGGTTGCGGTCTAGGGCTTCGGGTTTAGGGTTTAGGGTTTAGGGTTTAGGGTTTAGGGTTTAGGGTTTAGGGTTTAGGGCATAGAAACACCAGCTTCGAACCCTCTGTCTCTGAGGCAACGGCAGCAACATGATGCCACTCCCTGGAATATGCAGAGGATGCGTTGAGAGTGGCCGATGCACTACAGAGATCCAGAGATCCACAGAACCCTCTGCCCTCTATGAGGGAAGATTCCTGGGATCATGAACATAAAATCGAACCTAGGTTCCTCGGTTAATCTATACCCTCAGTTAACTTCATCCCCATCCCTGAACCCTAAACCCGACACCACTAAAGCTGTCTTCCTTGAGCGTAAGGGGCGAAGAAACTAAACCCTAGACCCTACACCCTAGACCCCCAACCCTAAACCTTAGACCCCAAGACCCAAACCCTAAACCCTGGACCCTAAACCCGAAACCACTTAACACAGGCCGTGTGGTACCCATCATTGACGGCCGTGCTGCCGACCTCAAGAGGCGCAGATACTCTCGGAAAGGGTCCTGGATGGTTCTTTATTTTCATAGTAATAACAATAACAAGAATAATAGGAAGAATGGCAAAAAAAACAATAACAACAAGAACACAAGAATAATACGAATAATAATTGTAATAACAATAATAATATTGATAATA